CAGGACTCTGCAGGGGTGCAGGAACCTGCCTGGGCTGTGCAGAAACAAGGCTGTGTATTACCACCTCAGTCCCATGCTACACGGGTGCTACTCAACTGGCACCCATGTCACATGCTGCTGGCACAGCTGTGGCTCCAGGCTCGTTGGCTCCCCCCTCTGCCACTCCACTGCCTTGCTGCCCCATCCACCACAGCACACACCTTCTGTCACTTGCCCGGGCTTCTGACTTTCCCTGGGCAGTATGAAAGCAGATGGCACCTAGCACCAGAGTTAGCCCAAAATGAACTCACCAAAACTGCATGAACAAATTCAAAACTGCAGAGCAAGTCTTATTACCACTAACACCACATGTACTCATCACTACAGAATGGCGGAGGCACATTGAAAAAAATAAATACCGTACACCTTTGCAGTAAGCACCAGCGGTCTGATCCACACAGGTACTTGTTTCCCTTTGATTTTAACAGGTTTTAACCAACGTTGGTAAAAATACTAAAAAGAATTTCCCATTAAAATGACCGTAAGTGTGGCCCTGACTCTTACTATCACACTTTTTTTACAAATGAACAGACTGAAGCTCTGAATCTGTAATTCTGGATGCTTTACCACAATAGTTTCTATTATTGTTACTATTTACTGTCATAGCCCCACCCTTTCCATATGGCGTGAGATTTGGTCTGCGACTGTGTTTACCTCCCATTTTATACCATGTAACTGCAGATTTCAGATGTTGTGTGTGACAGAACACAAAGAAGAAATAATGCAACAGTAAGACAGAAGAAGAAAATACAAACAAAATTAAATGACAGAGTTAAAAAGTTGAAAGTCAGTTCTGGAAAGTCAAGAAAAAGATTACTTGAAGCTAAATAACTCAAACCTAAATATTTTCTTTACATTTCACGTAATGCTTTTTAAAATTAGTCAGATTCCAAACTTTATTCAGTAGCATTTCTATGCTTTCTATGTTAACTGACATGATTTATTTTATTATTATTTTTTATTTCATTTAGACTATGTGCAGCTGCCTTGAATTATTGTCAAGTGTTCAGAAAATTTTTTTATTTTTTAAATCAGCACATATCATGAAGAATCCATGTGCACCATCGCCACTAATTAAAGAAATCTTGAAAAATTTTGCCAATGTCAAGCCAACACTTAAAAATAAATCTAGTCACCACAAGCCAATGTGTCTGCTTAGAAACATCTTGTAAACACCTGGGGAAACATTTTCCTTTGTCTGTACATTTCCAACATCATTTAAACACAATGTCCCCTTATGTTCAGCAAATTTCAACTTCAACCAGCATGACAAAATCCTCATCTCGTGAGTGGCCTTTCCAAACCTAGCCCGTTCCCCTAGGATGCTTCTGTTGTCCCACAGCCTCCCTTCCAAGAGGGAAGCAATCACCACCTGGATGCGGAGATGCTCTGAGCATAACGCAGCCCCTGGTGAAGATCACAAGATCTTTCGTGGAGTGAGAAAGTGCCACCCTGCAGTGAGCATCACAGAAAAACAACTCTACGTCTACTTGATCCAACAAACTAATGTATCTTGTGTATTGCCTCCACCAGCAACAGCATGCATCTCAGTGGAAGGCAGACCAACCCTACATAGTACTTCAGATCACCACTACCACACTAAATTCCCCCATGGAAGCAAAAGCAGTGGATAAGCAAGCTACTGCGTTTTGGAGGCTCAAAATATAGCATTCCTACACAAACAGTACTCTGTCTGGAGGAATATGATCTACTTGTGTTGGTGTAACATGCAGGAGCTCTAAATTAGGTCAGCATTGTGCGTGGTGCTGTGCAAATGGAGACACGGACAGAGGAATGTGGCTTCTCAGAGGAACCCAAGCATCCAAAAGCCATGTCTGCACCACAAGCCAAGTCACGTTCATTTTAGTGAGGCTCTGGCTCCCTACTTTCTATGTCACTTTCAAAGACTGAATGTAAATTACCCAGATGATTTAAAACCAAAATTGAACCCCAGTGCCTGGCCAAAATTTATATCTCAAAAACAGCACTGAAGAGAATGAAATTTAGAGCAAAAAAAAAAAAAAAGTCCTTTGAGGGAAGTAAGTATTGGAGCCTCCAGTATCAAGCTGGGAGCTTCAGCTTGACGCATCTGGAGCTAGACTGACCAAAAAAGAAATCAATCCGCAATAGATTATAAAAAAAAATATTTTGCACTGATGTAGAATGGATGAGGTGAACTAACAGGTTTCTCCCATCTGTATTTTCCAAAATTTAGATCCTGGATTTTATTATCATTTTTCCTTTAAGTAGTTTGCAACTGATCATGCCAACATCTTATTTCGTTGATCTCAACAGGATATTCTTTAAAAGATGCATTTATTCACTCGGGAACACACTAGTGTAATTAGCCCTGACATTTCAACAGTCTGATCACAAACACAGAGCGCTCTATGT